CTACTTCACGATCGTTTCAGGCTGGACATAAGGAAGAATTTCTTCACTGTCCGAGCCCCCAAGGTCTGGAACAGCCTGCCACCGCAGGTGGTTCAAGCGCCTTCATTGAACACCTTCAAGATGAAACAGGATGTTTATCTTGCTGGGATCCTATGACCCCAGCTGACTTCCTGCCCTTTGGGCAGGGGGCTGGACTCGATGATCTTCCGAGGTCCCTTCCAGCCCTAATGTCTATGAAATCTATGAAAATTCTGGGGCATTTTTGGTGAAAAGAGGGTATCAAGCCTTGGTTCAGGAACCAATCCCCTGTTTATAACATTGTTTCTTATGAGAAAATTGGTTCAGAGTTACAATGTTTTGACTTAAGACACGGTTTTCAGGAACCAATTGTGTTGTAAGTCCGAGGACTGCCTGCATCTGCACTGGCCATGCAATGCACGAGAGCTAGGCAGAACTTCCCTGCCACTGCAGTTCCTAGATGCACTGTTTCATTTCAGATCTGACACTAAAGAATGGGGCTTCTCTCTCCTGTGATCTAATTACCTCAGCTTCCTCTTCACTGTTCGGGCTGGGTAATCAAATTTAGAGGTGACAAGGGCTAGACCCTACAACCAGTGTGGGAAATGGAGTGAGGGGAAAGCCTAGATAAAGCTTTGCAGATGGGTCAGGCAGTGGGAGGGGATAAAAACTGGAACCAGTAACTAGGGGGAGAAAACACTTAAGTCTGGACAAGATACCAGGAGAGGATGAGAGCAGACAAAGAACTCTGATGGGGTGAAGGGTTAGGGACTGGCCTGGGAGAGAAGAGAGCTTGGAGGCAGTATAATGAATTCAAAATAGGGCTATCTGGAAGTAGAAAATGGGTATTAAAAAAAAAGAGCTAGGGGTAAGGAAGAAAAAGGACTGTGACAGATTTGAAAGGAAAGTGCAGAAGAGTATCTACAAGAATATGCAATCTTCCCAAGGTTGGAATGAAACCCAAGGATTCCTGGTCATCCCCTGTAGCACAGCATCTCAACCCCTTTAAGTGTGGTCTGCAGAAGACAACAGCCTGCTATGGCAATAGTTTTCAAACTAGGTCATCACAGGTTCCACAAAGATATTGGGGTTAATGGTAGAGCAGGCTGGGAGGTGGTGTCTTTGTCACTATGGGTCACCTAGCTCTATCAGGTTAGACAGGCAGCAGAGCCAAGAATAGGGGTTCCGCAGCAGAAGCAGTAATATGAAAAGGTTCTGTGACTTTACAAAGTTTGAAAACCACTGTGCTATAGCTGTCATTTCTTATGTTAGATCAAGTGACAGAAGGTTCCTATTCTGCTGATGAATACAACAATGCTGGATGATGGAAACTGGTTTTCCCCCCCAAAACCTAGGAAATGATGCACAAAAAATTATGTTGTATGTTTGTTTTCTGAATTCAGGTCTTGGGGTCTGTGTTGAAATGGAAGCCACATTTGGAATGTATGAAATGCTTTATGCTGTTACATACTCGGAAACAGTCAGGCCATGAACTGCGTAGCCTGAATTAGTGGATGCTTGTCTCTGTGCTTCTTATTTCTCCATCTGTAAAATGGAGATAGTTCTCTTTTATTTCACATAGATTTGTGAATATAATTTATTAAGTTTGTAAAAGTATTGCACTGACATAGTCTGGGAGAAAATTAACAGAGCAGGGATTGAAAAGTCCTAGTTAAATAAGGCCCAAGGCCAATTATCAACCAATAAAGGGGGATGAGGGGGAAAGGAGAGGGGAAACACTGAATGGCTGCTCAGTAACTGCACAGAGTAGGGAGTATTTTCTATTTTTCATGTACAAAATTAGCACTGAAGGTTTAAGTATGTGATCACTATGTATACATAAGTGGCCAAATCAAGGTTGCACAAGCTATCCTAATTCTCCAACTCCTGAGCAGCTGATCCTCAAAGCTGTGTTCTTTAAACTTTTTTTGTGCCTTATTTATAAGCTAATCACAAACTGATACTAAATTTAAACTTTATCCAGTTGGCTATAGAAGGCTATCCTGCACCAGAAACACATCTAGACTATACCATGAAACCTGCCCAAAAGACAACTGTTATTAAGTGACTACTTTAGAAAGGCTAGGTGTGTTAAGTAAAAAAGCTGGTGTATTAAACACTAAGGGAGAGGTGCAGTTCCAGATGGGTTTACCATACAGGATTCCTACGTCTGTTTCTTTTTTTTGTCTGTCAATTTTCCTGCCATTTCTCCAAAATCCCTTTCAACAATGCACCCTATTTTAAGAACTTACTTAACTATTCAAGCTAGGGCTCCAGCCACTGAAAAAAACCCATGTAAAAACATACCTATTCCTACTTTGGGACAACTTCTTGGTAGATAGCATATGTGAAGTTTTCAGTGGAATAGAACACATGGCTTTAAATGATTAGTCATGAGGCCCTCCACCCTGCCAAATGTTTGGAAAAAAAGATGAGAGTACCTGTAAAGCATTTCTGTCTCTCATGGCTATTTCAAATGAAGTAATGACCACAGGATGGATCTGCAGTGATCCTTGTTGCCTGTGAATTTTGTGAACCAATTTGCGACGTTCCTGCTGGGCTCCATGGTACAGCATTGTGGGGATCTAATATAAATCAGATTTAAACATTAAATAAGCTCCATTTTACAATTAAGTGTAAGAGAAGGTAGCGCAGACACTTAATACTTTGAAGTTATAAATAAAATACCAAATAAAGCACTTTTAAATTTCTATTAATACGAAACAATCGAGACATTTTCTACAATCATATTAAGAATCGTCCTCATGCTTTTATAAGACTGGCTAGGAACATGAAATAATTTACTTTTCTGAAACACAAAATAACTTCATTTTTTACCTCTGGAGCGAACCTCTTGAATTCAGACATCCAGTTAGGAAGTGTAGACAGGGGCCCACATACTAAGAATGGTCCAGGAACTCCTCTCTCTACCATCAGTGCTATTGTTGCTATGCACTGGATAGTTTTTCCTAATCCCATTTCATCAGCCAAAATGCCATTAATGCCATTTTCCCAAAGCATCTGCATTTATAGAAAGAAACATTTTTACATTAGTATATACCTTATAATTAGTATACTTCTATATGTATATAACACTTGTGACTGAATTCACAATTCAGTTTCTGCTAGCAATTTTTCCACATCTACATACCTTGCAAAATTGTAAAAGGTCTTTTCCTTGCCTACATTAAATAGAAACAATACATAGGAATGTACCAACTGCATAATCACGTGCACACACAGTGTCACTTGTGAGTCCATTCAGCCATGTGAAAGTTTAAAAACCTGGACAAGTTAGATATTTGCTTGCACTTAACTGAAAACCTAGCTCAATTTATCTGGAAGCTTTTTGTTGACATTTCTCAGGCTTGTTCCTAAACTCAGAAGTAAAGCTTTGGTATAATTCTCTTTCGCCACATCTATGCATGCACTTAACTGCAGAGTAGACTAATTAGCTGCACAGTAAAGCATCAGCAGCTACACATTCATTGCTATTAGGCCATAGTCATCTAATTAACTCTGTAATAAAATAGTGCTGGCAGGGACAGTACTATCTTACAGCAGGGTAATTAACTGTGATTAAACGCAAGTGTAAACTGCACCCCATCAGCCCAGCCAGCCAGGAGCAGACAGGTGCCTAGCCATATAGCTCTGCACTTTCAGCACCCTTGTGCTGCAGCCAGTCGCTCTGCTGCCTGCCACCACCAGCTGGAACCCAGGACTAGGTGGCCCTGGTATAAGCTACTCCACCCTGGCTCAAATAGCTGCTGTCCCAAGTGCAGGTGTAGATATGCACCCAAGAGTAGTTTACTCCAGCTCAAACTGCTCTGGGGTTTATTACTTCAAATTAATTGCACATGTAGGTGCATCCTTTGGCGTCACCAAGCAGAACACGTTTCATGCTCCAACCATTTAGAAATTTTAATATTGAAAAAATAAAATTGCAGTTAGACTTGCTTCAGGAAGACTACTTTAAAGCACACTCAGAAAAAAACAGGAAGGAGTACAGATGTTAAAAAAATAAAAAAAATGCATGCAAGTAGGAGTCTGCCAAGGAAGCAAGAATTTTTACCTGACTAGCTTCAGCTGCCTGCTTTCACCGCACTAAAGCCAGTAAGTAGGTTTTGGTTCAAAATTAACTAGCAAAAGAAAACCCGTGCTTGAATCCTTTAATTTCCCTTTGATATACAAGAAACAGGTTCAAAGGTTATTAAACGGAGGGCGTGAACAGTTTAAATTTCCCCCTTGTGTTAGGAAGCCAAGTCTCCTCTGTCCCAAAAGAATTTATGGCCACATTATGAGCTCTTTCTTGGGATATTATAACCTAAGCCAGTGATTCACAACCAGGGTGATGGGAACGCTGGGGTGCCACACGATCCTTTGAAGGGTCCTGTAGGAAGTGTGAAGAGACAAACAAGGTATGAGGAGATAACCAGATAAGAAGCAGGCTCAGGCTTTAAGTGTGAAGAAGCAAGCAGACTGGCTGTGCTTATGCTGACATGACAGTCTACATCAGGGGTACGAAGAGCTGTGTTCTCCAATACCTGACCAGCATTAACTGCCTGCAGAAATCCTTAAGACAGACAGAATCCCATGACTGGGGACACAGGGAAGTGATATCACCATGAGGGAACAAAGGATGAGTGAGATAAACACAAGGTTGTTGTTACTGCTAGTACAGCTTGTAGATCTGGAACTATTCTGGTGCATCTGTATATAGAACAGATATTTTGCTCTGAAAGCCTTTCTACCCACAAAGAACTAACCGTATCTCCTTAATAGTAGCCCATCAGCTTATATTTAGGGATCCTTAAGAGACAATTCCAAGGTAAGTACCCTTAATGTCTCTAGTTCAGCGGTTCTGAACCTTTTGACTCAAAGCACCCCTCTATAACATGAGAACTGAGTGCCATCCTATTTCAAGAAATGACATTTCTTACAGTGCTTACCTCCTTGCAGATGGGTCAGGCAGTGGGAGTGGAGGAACAACTATACCAGGGAGAGCCTGAGTCTGTCCTTATCTGCTCATCTATTAACTCTTCGAGGATTTCACATGCCCCAGTGTACCCCGACATCCGATTGAGAATAACTGCTGTAGCTCATTCATGCCATATGTCAAGACCAATGGTTCTCAAACTTTTTAGACTCAAGGTACACCGTGGAAAGTGAAAAATCCCAGCTCTCTTTTTTGCCTGAAGAAAAATACAACGATTCTTCTGTTATAAAGAGCTCAGAACAACCACACCAGGTCAGAATGTTTTTTGATACCATGGCTTCCTATCTGAAATCTCTGGGTTTATCCTGTAAATCTCATGTAGGAGGTACACTTAACAGTGCTAATATTGCATAGCACATGTAAAAGGAGTTCATAGCACCACAGGGTGCCATGTGATAGTAACAGAGGAAAATGGATTTTAAAACATCTAACACTTGACTCCTATTTTCAATAGAATATTTTTAAAGAAGGCTTTTGACTCACTATCATTAAATACAAATTCGCAGAAAGAGGAAATACAGGTGTTTAAAGCTGAGTTGGGCCTCAAAGGTCATAAGATTTCTGTACTCAGGGAATTAACAGTAGTCGAGTACCACCACAGGAGTTGCATTCAGAACAACCTGAAAGGGGACAGATTAATAGATACTCCCATAATAGTACGGTGACTACCTGACCCTCATTTGGCTGGGATAGTCCCACATTTCAGAGGCTGTTCTGGTGTCCTGGCTGTTCATGAGAATTAAAGAAGTCCCAGATTTGTGCCACCCTGCCCTCAAGTGCCTGGCCTGGCTCCTCCTGAGCAGGAGCTGGAGGTCAGGGATGAGCTGGGCTGAGCCTGGCTCCCCATCCTTGGAAGGATTGGCTGGGCTGGGGCACCTGTGGGGGGAGCAGTGCAGAGGCCTGTGGCTAAGCCCCATCCCCTGGGCGCAGACAGTGTGGCGCCACACTGCACTTCTCCCCTGCCAGTAGCCTCACATTCTGCAGCTGTGGCCACGGCCAAGGCCCAGGATACAAGTGGCAGCCCAGGGCAGTAGCTACCAGGAGGAAGTGCCATATGGCTGTGTAGCATGGGCTGGGGGCACCCAGTCACGTACAGCCTCTGCATGTAAAGGATGGAGCCCAGATGTGGGCCTCTGCACTGTCCTGCCCCACCCTTCTCTGCCATCAGGACTCTTGGAAGCCATAGGGTTGGGGCTTTTGTGTGTGCCCATGAGGAGAGTGGGGTGCAAAGGCATAGGGGGGTGCGCCTAACTCTCTGCTGCTGATCTGGGGGGAGATTAAATTGCTGGAGCTGCTGCTGTTGTTTGCTGGGAGCCTCTCCTGCCTTGCTGGAGGTAGGAGGCCACTGACAAGCCAAGATGCGCAGTGGAGGGAGGGAGACAGATGGTGGTGGTGGTTGGAAGGAGGCTGCATAGTCTGCTACTGCTCTAGGCAGGCAGGTTGGTGGGCAGCCTGTAGATCCCTGGCAGCATACTTTTTCCCCAGGCAGGAAGGCAAAGAGACAGGGACGGGAAGATGTCCAGTCACAAGATCCTGGTAAGGGAAGGAGGAAGCAGGTGGCACAGTGCAGCTCCAAGCTGGCAGAAGTAAGCCTAGTGCAGTTAGGGGTTGGGAGGCAGTGAAAACCTGGATCTAGACCCCATGCTGGCTGCACGGACATGGGCTCCACCTAGTATCACAGCCAGCACAATGAAGGGCTGGTGGTACTGCAGGGGATGGTGCATGCAGTGCCCGCCCCCCATCCCAGATTTCTTTACTTTGTCTCAGATTTCCCTAAAATTATTATTATGGTCACCCTACATAACAGAGACGGAGACAATGAGCAACTAGAAGGGGGAAAATTCATGGAACAACATATAAAGGAAGTCTTTGTTACAGTCAACACTCCACCTTTCCATTTAGGGGAAGAGTTGATAACACACATCATCCCTACAGTAAGAGGTAGGAAGACTAGACTTGATGTTAGCACTGTTAAAAAACCCACCCCCCCTCAAAAAAAAAAATAAAAAAAAAAAATAAAACCCTAGAAGACTTAAAAAACACTACACATCCAGACCGTTCCTCATGTGTCACAGCAAAACTAAAGGATGTCTGAGGTTGATAGTTTTTTAGAAATTCTTTACTGCCCTCTCTTTGCCACCAGTTTAAAAATATCAGTTCATACCCTGAGCCATTCCATGCCTTCAACTTGGTACCACCGCATAACACCTCCAGTAAAAAGCTTTGGTTGTTGAAAGGGTACTGGCTGTCCATTGAATTTCCGTACTGGATCAAGGAAATGCTTGGCATTGTGTCGCACAGCTTGAGATAGCCTATCTTTAATGACACTATTAGAGTCTCCATTCTTCTGTAGGTCTTCCGCACACAGTTTATGAGAGGAGGTTTCATCCTAGGGGGATGAGTTCAGAGAATGTTTTAAGTACAGGCATAGCACAGCTTAGTTATCCCAGACCCTCTGTAAGCTGCTGAGATTTCTGGCATATCTGCAGTCAATGTTAGTGCTGCAGGTAAACAAATAAGCTTCCAGTCAAAGATAAAAGGAAAGATTTAGTTTGAGTGGAGGTGTTCATTACTTCCATTCTGGGGGGAGGGCGGGGGGTATAGCCCTGAGCCAATTTAATATTAAGTGTTACATGGCCGATTCCCTTGCAATCTCATACGCTACATATTTGTACTATCAAAAACTTAATTCACTTTTCCCAAAGATAAAAATTTGGGATTTCACTTTTGAAGGCCTAGGTTTAACATTAAGTCAATGTACAACTAAATGTCACATTTTTAAAACATTTAATAAAACGGGGGCTAACCTTTTTGGCAGGCATGCCACAATTTAAGCCGCACACCCTCTGAGTGTCATACTAATCCCACTGCCTTGCCTGATCTGATGCTCTGCACCATGATCCCTCCCTGACCTTCTGCTCTTTCTGTTCCCTCCCCAATCTGCCACATATGGAGGCTACCCATACCACTGTTGGCATGTGCGCCATAGGTTTGCCACCACAATCTAACAGATCAGGCAAATCTGTAGCAGGACAAGTTTACAAACTTTATGTCAAGCTTCTCATAACAGCTGCTGCATATGAAAATTGTGAAAGCTTGGACAGTGTCTCTTGCACAAAAACGCAAGACAATGGCTGGGGCAAGACTGGATTGTGGTAACAAGACTGCCACAAGAATGTCAAATTCTGCTAGTGGCTGCAAGCCATTAGGCATCAAGACAGTGGAGTGCTTATGCCACCCAATATCAGACCCATGCCATAGAATAATAAAAGTGATGGTTAAAAGTACTGGCAGAGACCTGGCCCACTCCTCATGTGTGTATCTAAGAGAGCCAGTGAAGGCAAGGAAACTATATATGCATTTCAATTGACCTAGCAGCTAAAGAAAACAAAAGACTAAATATGCATCTCAAGAGAAACTCAAGAGTAACCAATGCCTCTAAGCATCCTGTTTAACCACTCAAGGCTCATCATATTTAATTGCAGTGGCTGCAGAAAAAAAGTCTTCACACCTAGACATATCCAAAACAGGAGCCAGGCAATTTAACAACTGTAATATGATGGTCACCCTTTTCCTCCCTGTGTGTTCAGACTCTAATCAGCCAACCATTAAGGAAAAATGCTCCGAAGCTATACAGTTAAACAGAATAAAAACTAGACAGAACTGCCAGCAACGTGTGGGCAGTCCAAGGCAGACGAAGAAGCCATTCTGCCACCCAGCCAACGAGTGAAGAAGCCACACTTTGAGGCTGTACAAGAACTGCTTCCTGCCTGCATTGGGTAAAGATCACTTTGCAGCCAAAGATAATACAAAGACTAACAGCTTGTTTTAGTACTAAGGACTAATAGCTTGTTTTATATTAGGAAAGAGTCTTTTTCTGTTATTTAGTTTTGTAGCTTATTAATAGTTATTAAAACAAGCCTTTCTGCTATTCATCAACTGTGTTGTGTCAATTCTCAGAGCACTAGGTTTAAAAACCTGCTTCCTAAGTGCAACAGAGCTATAGATTTAAGTGCTTATAGCAACAAATAAAATCAAGTCAGGTAAAAGTTAAGTAACAAAAATATCATAGCATTATTGTTTGTTCTTTCATTCCTGAAACTATATTTATCCTTTATAAAAGATGCAGATTTTGGTTTTTTTTCAGCTGAAATGAAGAGGTGTAATGTTTAAGGCATTCAAGCTCCAAGTTATTCAATTGTTGCATATATTCTTAAATCACTTATTGTATGCACTTTTACAATACACGACTGTTATAAATATGTTTTCAATAGCCAAATAAAAGAGGTCATATGTAGAACTGAATGATGGGAGCAGGGAAATGCAGTAAGGAATCTTGAGAAGTTAAAAGCATTTTGGCAGATAATTAAAGATATATATGTAAGCTGGCATAAAGTGCATATGTAAGGTGTGATCAGTGCAGACATACCTGATTTTCTACTTTGCTTTTTTTGGCCACTGACAAGATTTCCTAGAAATAAAAAGCAAATGGACAGTAAAGCATGCCTTGCTAGCCACCTTGAAGACTAATACTGCAATATCCACTTCTGTAGCATGTTTAATTCAAGGAACTGAAAGAGCTTTAAATGAACTTCAGTACATCATAAAGGTAAATATTTCCATTTGTAGATAAGGGAATGGACACAGAAAATTTAAGTACGTTTAAAGGCCATACAGTCAGTCAATCCAGGGAATTCTTATCCAAAAGCAGCTGGATAGAAAGGAAAAGAGCATCTTTCATTTTAGTTTAAGGATTGCTCATTTTTAACAAGTTATACGTAGTTATGCTAGATAGCATAAAAAGAGAAATTACACACCAAATTCTAGCCTACAGCTTCTCCAAAACTGCACTTGACAATTTACTGTTAATTAAGGAATTCTTTCACAATTATACGGATTATTCATGAATGAGGCAGATTCTGGCCTTTTCTCTCTCAAAACATGAGGGATGAGCATCCCTCATTTGTTCTTTACAGCTCTGCAGTAAAGCATCACCATCTACATGTGCACCAGTATTAGGGCGCAGTAAATTAACTAACTCTGCCATAAGATAGTACTATCAGGAACAGTAATATCAGCAGGGATCCGGGTTCTCTTTTTCACATGAGAGAGAAAAAACATGGATTTCCTGTTTTTAGCAGAGAAAACGCTGATTCTTTCTTTTAGCAGAGAAACCCGCACATTTTCCTGCTTCTGCAAGGAGCTCTGCAGGCTGTCTGAGTTCCAGCCTGCAAGAGCTGTTTGCAAAAGGGTCGGGAAAACCCCAACCCTGCCCTGAGGGGCAGGGCCCGAGGCATTTAGTTAGTCCCAAGTGTTGGGTCAGGCTCCATTTCCTTCTAGAGCCTGTGAAGAGGTAAGTGGGGCTTGCAGGGATTGTGGGGCAGGGCTGGGGGGGAGCGATTCCCCCCTCCCGCGTGCAAACCCCCGATCCCTGCCAGAGTGCTTAGCTTTAAACTGACAAGGACTGGGGGTTTGCATGGGGTGGGGGAAAAATCACTGGTATAAAGCCGACCACTCTGGTGGGGATCAGGGGTTTGCAGCTGGCCAGAGTGCCCGGCTGCCTGCATGTGGAGCACTAGCAGTCCAACTGGGCTTGGGTCTTTAGGTTTCACGTGTAGCCGGCCAGGCACTCCTGTCAACTGCAAACGCCCGAGCCCCGCTGGAGTAGCCAGCTTTATACTGGTGATCCCTCCCTGATCCACCATGCAAATCTTCGATCCCTGCCGGAGTGCCCGGCAAGGACTGGGGTTTGCATGGGGTGGAAGTTGCCGGTGTAACGCCAGGCACTCGGGCGGGGATCGGGGTTTGCAGCTGGCTGGAATGCCTGGCTGGCTACATGTGAGGCATGGAGGCAACAAGCCCAGTCGGGTTGCCAGTACTCCACGTGCAGGCAGCCGGACACTCTGGTAGGAATCAGGGGTTTGCAGCTGGCCGGAGTGCCGACTCCCTGCAAGTGGAACATGGAGGCGCCAGGCTGGGCAGGCTCTGCACCTCCATGTGCAGCTTCCTGCATTCCTAGAGGATGCTGCACACGGAGGTACAGAGGCTGCTCAGGTTGATGATAGTGGCTGTCATACCGCCCCCACCTCGCCACTGCACCTGCCTACAAACACCATGCTCAAGCCCACCCCACCAACCCTTCACCCCCCCACAAACCCTACATCCAGTAAAATACTGTTATATTTATTTTAATTTATATATTTTTTAAGAAAGCAATTAATTTTGCATAATGTTGAGTTTTGCTGCACACTGTTTTGAATTTTCTGTACAGCTGAGGGAATTATGTGCAGAAGAGGTCTCAGCTGTGGCCCCAGCCCCCTCCCACCCTGTGGGACTACCTGGGGACTTCTTCACAGCCTGGGATTTTTATTTGTTTATTTTTTTTTTAAATCACAGAATTTGCAAATTTTTTCAGAGAAAACCAGGATCCCTGAATATCAGAGATAGTACTATCAGGCTACTCTGCCCTGGCTCAAACTGCTGCAGTCCTGAGCGCACGTGCACACAGGAGCAGTTCGAGCTGTGCCAGAGTTTATTTGGCCAGATTCACTGAACGTGTAGATGCATCCAAGATATCATGAACATTCCAGCTCAATACAAATATATTCTGACTATGCTGCATTACTTCCAAATACTGCTGTCCTGTGGTGAACTCTCTCACAATCTAATGCTAATGTACAGAAAACACTTTTACATTTGCATTAAGCTAAAGAAAGTACTCTAGTAGTCAATCTATTACCTCTTTGGACATGACTTCTGAAATGTTATAGGTTCCATCTTCTCTTCCTCTTTTCTTTTTCACGGCTATAGGATGATATTACAGAGATCATAAAAGCTCAAAACTATTTGTAGATAGTTTATCTAAAAAAACTAAGCATGGACAAAAACTCCAAAGTAAAAACAATTACCTGATTTCTCTTCTTTTCCATCAGTTAGATTTTGATCCTGGAAAATAAAAATGGTTAAATCACTTTATGTATTTTCTAATGTCATTTGGATAAATGAGAGCAATAAAACTGTAATCAAAATTAGCCTGCTCATGTTAGTATTTGTAACTACATTTGAAATTACATTTCAAAATAACACTATATGTAAATATGTTGCTAAAAAAAAATACCGCCTTACTGTTTAACAAGCTCAAACTTACCAGCTAAACAGTTTTGAATAAAGTTGCAGCCTACCAAAGGCTTTATAGGAAGCACTATCCAGCAGCAGTACAGAAAACTGTTCTAGTTAAAAATCACTCTATAATAATTTTCAGAGGTCTCTATGAAGGCACCCATGCTAGATGACTAAATCAGCCATTACTGAGTGCTAATGTTTAATTTTCATGGTACAGCATGGGCATATTTGAATATGAAGCTAATGGCTGGAGCTGGGGGAGGGGAATCTACATTCTCCTACTAGTTGAATGTTAAATATAACACTTAATAGAAAAGATTCTACTGTGAAACACACTGTACACAATTGATATTGGGATATTTGTTATTTATGCCAATCATTTCAAAACACACTATTAATGAATAGCTTTGTACAAAACAGCCGATATATCTTACTTTTGTAGTTTTTAGTAACGCTTCTCGCTTTTTTTCTAATTTCTCCTTCCTTTTCTGTTCCTAAAAAAACAAGCAAAAACAAAAACACAAAGTTCTTATCTATACAGAACACCTGTAGTAACTTAAACCATTATAAGAATTCCAAATGACATGCATCTACATGAACAATACAGTCTAGGACTTGATTTACTTCTGCAGTAGCACACATTTCAAAATGTGTCAAAACAAAATAGCAGAAAGCACTTGGCGAGATAAGAGGAATTGTTCTACACCCGATTTCTGACAGCTTCATAAAATACTATCAGGGAGATCAAGCATTTCTGATATGTAGACTACTATAAAATAATGAAGCATATTAGTCATTAAGCTTATTTTACACAAGAGAAATAGCAGGAGGTTAATGATCTCAAACTAGCTCAACAGGGTGCTCATCCAGCTTCCTCCTGAACACCTTCAACGATGGCAACTGTACCACCTCTGCTGGAAGTGTGTTCCAGGTTCTAGCTACTCTTACGGATAAGTTCTTCCTTATGTCCAGTCTAAATCTTCCTTCTGTTAATTTGTGACCACTGGTCCTCATCCTCCCAAGAGCTGCCTTCCTGAAGAGTTGGTCCCCCAGATATTGGTGCTCCCCCCTGACATACTTGTAGGTGGCTATCAAGTTACCTCCAGCCTCCTCTTACTCAGACTGAACAAGCCTAGTTCCTGGAGTCTCTCCTCACAGGGCCTATCCTCCAGACCCCTGATCATGCGAGTGACCCTTCTCTGAACCCTTTCAAACTTATCCGCATCCTTCTTGAAGTGCAGTGCCCAAAATGGGGGGCACTGCTCCAGCTGCAGCCTCGCCAAAGACGAGTAGAGGGAGAAGCACCTCTCTGAATATGCTGGCAACACACTGGGTGATGCACATCAGAGTTCTATTTGCCCTGCTGGCGACTTCTTTGCACTGTTGGCTCATATTCATCTTTTGGTCAATAGTGACCACCAGGTCCTATTCAGATGCTGTGCCAGCCAGTGGGCTACCGCCCATCTTATAGTTATAGTAAAGGTTCTTCCTACCCAGATGAAGCACCCGGAACTTTTCCCTGTTGAACCTCATCTGATTCTGATTAGCCCATATAGCTTCTGCTGATTTGCCTTCATCATATCATAGCTCTTCCAATCTTAGACTCTATCCTTTGTGAAGGGCAATTTAATTTAATCTTCACATGACAAAATGTGGTACCCTTGGGTACCTTTAGTTCCTACATTAGAGACTTAAAAAAAAAAAAATCCACAAGAGAGAGCCCTGGAGTAACACATTTCCCAAAGCCCATTTTTACATGGGTTTAAGCAAGTGTCAGAAGCCTTAAGCCTAGACCAAAGCCTTATTTGTCCTAGATTTGCCTTTGAGGGGAATTTTTTTTTTTAATGAAATCGGTAATGCTGATGAGAATTAAACCACTAATCTCTCATTCCACTGCCTCACATCTACTCCTTAGCCTGCTCTACATACAAAGAACAAACCAGATTCTTTAATTTATTTTTAAAACACCCACCTCTAGCTGCTGTTGTTCCATTTTGGTTAGCAAAAATTTTGAATAGATATTGCTTTTTTCCAGCAAATGCTGAAGCCTCTTGTAGCGCATTTCACTAGAGTCTCTGTCCCAGGACATTCGGGCCTATAAATACAGAAGGAATGGAAGTATTTAGTCTTTCAGCCTTTACTGTTCTTGAAGTTAATAAATATCATTCTATTCATCCCATAAAATACATCTACCCTTGTACTGTACATGTTTAGATAGATACCTTCCCCCAATAATCATACACCAAGGATTTAGGAACACAACATATTCCTCCCACAAATAGTCAAATGATCTGCTTCTGTGTTTATTCATTTGTCATGTGAATGACAGTTCTGCAATGGTACATACTGTAATACATTAATATAATGAGTAATATCTAACAGTATGTGAAAGGGTTTGTTGAACGTGAATTAAACCTAAACATTAGTATCTGAAGTCAGATCTATAGCATAAGTTTACTTGAATTAATTTGGTGCTTGCCAACCTGACAGCAAAATCTAAATCTACCAGCAGTTTTCAGTGTTAATTTTGTGATACCTACTAATACAGGGAGGGTTTCTAGAGATAAAAGAGATAATCTGTTTTAGCACCTTTTAGAATAACTCCTGTTCAACACAGACAAAACAACTAATCCCTAATGTGGATGAAGCCAAATGATTACTGGACAGGGCAAGTAAAGATTATCATACATGCACTTGAGAGTACTATCTTTAGTACCTTTGATAACAAAAAGTTGATACTGGTACTCTGATATCTAAAATTCGAGTAAAAGCTCACTAATAGGAGTTTGTGAATTACTTTCCTAAACCCAAAGAAACAGCAGTGTTTCTCAGCCAGGGTGCCCCAGCTTAGCACAATGTGGCATGCAGGAAGTTTTCTGCTAGAATAGCTATTAAACATTTGAAAGGCGGTGGTTTAGCATCTCTAAAGCAGCATGTTCCCCAGGGCAAGAAATGCAAAGGCTTGCGGTCCCAGTGCCTTACCTGAACAAAATCTTCAAAAGCCTCATTGAGTGAGGAAGGTAACGCAGACAGAAAAGTGCTAGAGCTAGATGGCAGGGCAGTGTAACTGGATAGAACAATAATTATTAGAAGAAAAAGAGAAGCTTGCTCATTTCTTTCAGACAGTACCAGATCCTGCTAATATGTGGCAATCCTAATGTGACTGTCCCTTGACGTGACAGCGAGCCGTGGAGGTGAACTAGATGAATTACTTAGAAAATGCAGTCAATAAATGAGAGAGAGAGGTTCTGAAACAAAGATGGAAGCAGTTCTATCACGCCATGCAGCAAGTTAGCAGAGAGGATTGATTTCAAGAGCGGAAGTTTCTTTTAACTTAACTCTTTGATGCTTCAGCCATTTTCAAAGGTTTGGCTACACACATGTGTACAAGTCTTGTTCTTGCTATTTTACTGTTACATTCTTGCTGCCCTTGGTTGATCAATTTCACACAAAATGCACTTAAATGATGACAACCCCTTAAGTTGAGAGGTAACAATGGATAAAGCAGTTTCTGGAGTCTCAACCCTAGGCAATGTTGTGGTAAAAAGGGTATAGGCAAAACGGTCTCCTATCAAAGTATGCTACAAACAACTCTGGGCTAATTCTAAAGAAAAAGAATAAATAACAGGGCAGACAGAAGGGGGCAGGAGTGCAGGCAATCTCTTCCCCACCCAAATTGCCTGCATTTCATTTTCGCCAGGCAGGGGAGACTAACTATGCAACCTATAGGAAGTACTGTCTAACCAAACCAAGAACGCACTTTTTTTTTGGTACTATACCCCATTTTCACACAATCTCCATTAGTTTCTGCTCTCCTTGTTTCAGTTTTCTTTCCTTAGCTAAATAGTACCTGAGCTCCTGAAGGCTTTGCATTTGTAAGGCTACCAGTACCAAGACTCCAGTTAGAATTAAGCTACTTTTTCAGCTAACTGCTATTGCTGACTTGTTGCTGGGCTAGAACACAGTTTCACTCCAAACAATTAGTGAATCTGAAGGATTTTCCCCTTGACTAATCAAGAAAACTGCAAGAAAGGGGAACAGGATGCTTAGATCCACAAAAAATTTAAAACCTTTGTTTCACTCAGTTTGTCCAGAACAGACCTTTATTCTGTCCATCTATTTGCTCCTGTACCCCAAGCAAGATTTTCCTAACACTCTGCTAGAAAGATTTTGCTGTTCTTTTCATCAAATTTGCTGCCATATCACAGAACAGACAAGCAGATCTTCTGTTAAGCTGCTGTACAAATCACTTGGCAGGGGGTGCGCAGTTGTGACAAGCATTAAAGAAATAAGGCCTCATGAACATGTAGGTTCTTGCAGGCTGCTAATGGCCTGAATGTAAGGACATGAGTAGGTCCCTCCCTTGCCCCCAAGGTAGCAGTAAGCATGTAGGATAGAACAATGACTGTGAGAGAGATGAATGCCAAAGAAACTGTATACACAGTTAAAATGAAATTAATAAGTCTAGATTTATGGTTCTGGTATAAATTGGGAAAGCATTTAAAGCCTCTCTTTTCAATATTAGCCTTCAGAGTGAAATACTCTATTTGCTCCACAACAGAAGTTGCCCTTCTTTTAAAAGTCTAAAAAAGCCACTCAATTCTGACCAACCATAGCAACAGATAAATGTATTTTTGCAACGTTGAAAGTTATATCCATACTCACACTATGTGTTCACATAAACTAGGTTTGACTTTAAAATGTCAAAACTAATGTGCTCTATTGACAAGTATGCTTTCCTGTTTAAAAAAAGGTAAGAATAAAAAAAACTTAGCAAGTGAAATGGGTTTTCTTCAGATTAATGCATAAATGAGCATATATAAACACAAGTTCAGAACCTTCTACCCTCCATCATTTTCCCTTGCTCCAAAGGTGGAATGAGAAAGGAGGCCAGTTCCACTTGACCCTGTTTCTATTATCAAAGCTTCAATATATGCCACAAGAAGCAATAAAACGGAAGGGTGTATAGCTCTGGAAATCCGCTTTGAATTGATCCTGCATTATTACATGAGCAACTTTTTCTGGTACTTGAACAACAGATTAGATTTAAAACATTTTCTCCAAATCTAAGTGATGAATACAGAAAACTGCATTTCCTCACAATTTAAAAAAGTTAATGGTTACAAACAATGTAATATAGATCCTGAATCAGACTGTAAGACCAGTGTTAAACAGAGCAGTTAACCTTCCTAAACCATGTCAAGCTGTGTCAGCTTGACATGTCCAAGTCAAAAACTGCATTACTAGTATAGAGCCTCATTTCACCCTCACCTTGCCCACACAAGTTGTAGAGCAGGTCAAGAGTAGAGCTTGTAGAAGCTCTTGTAGAGCTTCTACAAGAGTCAGAAGCTCCTTGGAACTCTGCCCCGGGAGCTGTGGAAGGTGACCAATTCAAAAAGGGACTGGACACATTCTTGGAGGAAAGGGACATCAACCGGGATTGAGCATGGGACTGAGAGGTCCATCACAGAGGACGTTCTGGTTTTCTGCTACTCTGTCCTCTATTGATACGAGACCCGACACCTTTATAACCTTTATTTCTCTTCAAGAGAAAAACAGAGGACATAAAGGCATTGGCATCTAATTTCGTACCAAGAGGATAACTGGGCTGTCCTCTATGATGGCCACCCTAGGAAGAGCCTCAGCCCTGGTTATACCCAGTTCACTGTCTTTCAGCATCCACTCTCTGCCACAGTGCAACGCCGTGTGCGCCAATTCCTCCTCCTCCATGCTACCTAGGAAAGGGAAGGTGATGTCCACCAAGGAGCAGTTCGGATAGACCCTCCTGAGGACATCCACAGCGTCCTGGCTTCATTCCCTGCTGGCACCAGGTTGAGGACCAGGACTCAGAAGGATTGTGGGTACCAGGTAGGCAGCTGGCTGCCTGTCCAATGGGGCCAGCCACCTGTGACAAAGGACACTGGGCAAGATGGACCTGGGCATGACCCACTCAGTGGTAGCTCCTTTATTAAGGGTTACTCTGAAGTGATGCCAGCTCCTAACTAGCTGGAGTCATGGCTCGCGGGTCCCAGCGGTGCCCTCCCCGCTCACCTTCTCCAGCATCTGCCGCTCCTCCTCCGCACCCGCAACTGCCAGCTGCTCCTCCTCCTGCAGCATGGCTGGGGGGGGCACCCCCCCC